CACTCTCTTCGATTTTTTATTTACCTCGGAGAGAAAGCACAGAGAACGTTAACTATTCGTATTATAATGGTTTTTTTTATAATAAAAATAGGAAAAGTATTTTAAATATTCCGTCGAAGGAAAAACTTTGTTCTCAAAAGTTGAATTTTTACTGAAATAAATATAATGCGAACGGATAGAATGCAAGCGCTTTGTGCGTGTTTGTAACTGAAATAACAGTTAAAGCAGGAATAATCTTTGAGCTATGAGTTATCTTGGCGACAGACGATCATTGGGACTGACATCGCATATTCCGTTTGAGTCGCGATGTCTACATACTCCTTTGATATCAGCACCGTTTCGAGTGTTCTTTTTCACATGGAAATTGATTCCAACATATTGCTACATTCTCTTTGCGTTCACCGTGGATGACCCCGTTCCGAAGACAAGATGGAAAAGGATATAATTGTACAGATGAAAATAGGAATTCTGGCTGGACAGAAACGGAACGAGTCCCTACTTGCATATGAAGGGCTGAATATTATGCAGTCTGAGATTTCCACACACAAAATCAATCAAGATTATTTTCAAAATAGACATTTCGCGCCGGCAACATTTTCTGAATCGCTCCCCGTTGCTGTTGCGCCATTATTTTTCTCCCATGCATTTTCCGTCCTCATAATTCCGTCGCAAGCTACTTACATTATCTCGGCTTAATTCTTTATTTAAAAATTCATAAAGGTGAGCATGACTGTCCTTCACAAATTTTTTTTAAATTATATCCACATTTATCGCTACTTAGAAGATTCCGTCTCACGTTTATTGCACGTCCCCTCATTTTATTTTACATCGATTTCCGATACATTGGTTATCACGAAGCAGAGATAAAAATCCGTCCTTGGAAATTATGTTACGAGATAGATTCGTGCAACTCGAGGAAGAACTCGTAAGTTCATTAGTCACTGTTTAACGATCCGCTCCATAGCAGAGATCTGAAAAGAAGAAGCTGGCAAGAAGAATAAATTCAAGCCTGTTTCAAATACGAAGTGCTATGGAAACGAGAAGAGGTATCATTTTATCGATCTCGAATAATAAGGGCTGTATTGTCGCAGGGAATAGTAAAGAATAATCTACTGTTATGAAAGAAAAGATCGCATCAAGAAAAGATCTCTTTGCGCTTAGACGTCTCGGGTTAAATCACGAAAGCGATATCGATTGAACGGAACGGTAGATAACTTAATTATGCGATTGCGTGTCGTGGAACGCTCATGCGGAAAGTTCGACGCGTCGATTTCCAGCAGTAATTTCTTTCGCGAAAGAAAATGGAAAGAATTAATTTTAAACTGCATCGCTCGATTATACGGTTGAATTAATCAAATCCGATGCGCATCGATTGGCGAGCAAAAAAATGCTGCTCACAGTGAAAAATATACAAAAATAGCCAGTCGCGTCTACACGCGTGTTTACTGTAACTACTAGTAGCGTATTTGAAAATACCACGTGGTTTCTGATTGTCTACCGATCATGGAAAACCAGGAAAACACAACTCACAATATCCTTTCGGCAAGTAGTCGGAAGTGATTAATCTTTCCAGTCTTTGTACAAGCTGCTCCACTTTTTGTCGTTAGCTCAGCTTCCTCCGGGGCTAACTTGGAGACTCTCTCATAATTCGATATGTCTGGAAGTCTCAGCGATTTTCCGAGCATAAGCGCGCAGTGTCGTAAATCGCGACACGATTCTCTGAGTTCAGCGAACGAGAAATTATGTTGAAGAAAAAAAACACTGTTTCACGGCTGTTTACCTTCCATTGCGAAGAAAAGAGGAATAATGTTATATTACGTGGCTATGCACAGACTAACGTTAAATATATATATATATATATATATA